AGGGTTCCATCGCAAGACGTGAGCTCTTGCCGCCTTCCACTGACGCGTTTTCTGGGTTTTAGAAACAGGAGCAGCCAAACATGCTTTCAGTCAAAGACGATTTTCTCAGCCATAATCGCTGTGAGAAACCACGACAGAAATGCTATGAAGAGAACATTGGCTAGTGTTTACATACGTTAAGTTCTTATTTATTTATTTCTACGCTCAGAATAAGAAAAGGCTTCCTGTTCTAGCGTTTTTCTAAGGTTACCGCGAAGGCACTTCAGGATGCCATGCGCGAAACATTAGAACACTCGTGTTCGAAGCAACTGGAAGCCGTACTCACAGCGTTAGGGGGCCTCAGCGAATTAGCCACTTTCAGAGAAGTGACAAATTAAAAAGCGCGGCGGTATTTATGGAATACCTGTAAATCACGGGGCTGCATATCATGTCCCTTAGCAATCTCGGTCAGTTTCTCACCCATACACCATCATATAGCAAACACAATTCATGAATTGCTTTCACTCTTGCAGGCTTCAGCAGGCCTGAGCCTTTCGAACTCCTGTGCTACTTCGCAGCAACGTTACTACAACAAAGCTTTGCAAACAGAAAGAAGTGCTTGAAGAACAGGCGAAGTACAGTGACGTGCGGATAGATAAGTACAAATAATCGTTCTTCTCAGAAAATGCCCGAATTGGAACGTATTCTATTGCATTTTGCCGAAGATACTTTTTTTAGCACGAGGGTCTGTTTTGGAGGTAGAATTTACGTTCAGTGCTAGAACTTCTATCCATGCACCACCGTTTATCGATGACTACTGTTGTCACTCAGGCAGTGATAACACCAGTCATGGATGATCAAATAATCAAATCAGATAATGATAACGATTGCATCAGCTTACTTAATGTCAGCCGCAGAAGATCAAGTCTGCTCGGGGAGTGAAATGTGGAGGCGAACTACCTCATCCAAGCCTCGGATAAGTCTACCCAATGCGATGTAAGATGAGAATCGATAAAAAGTAAGCTTCTGAAACATCGTCATTCACACAATGTCGATGAACCTCAAAGCGGTCACACGTGCGCTATTGCGTAACATTCACAGACTGGCAGGAAGCGTTCATCAAAATATCAAGGGAATCGTCTCATCGAATAGCTAGTTTTGAGGAATGTGGGAGAATCTGCGCAAAGAACTGCGGGTCATTTGATGTTCAGTGTTATCGATAGCTAGTTTTCAAGAATGTTGGAGTGTGCGCAAAGATCTGCATATTATTCATGCTTTAAGTTTTGGGATTTCAATGTTTTTCCTTTTTACCAAACGAAGAGAAAGCTCGACATGGAAAGAATGGAAGATCATTGCGTTCCAAAGTGATAGCCTGCGAACACGATATTGTTATAAGAGGCCAATGAAGAAACCCCTAAATAGAGCCCTGCTATAAATGCATAAATAATATGTAGGAATGAGTGCAAGCAAGGGCTGTGCTCATGACTGCGTACTTCTTGCCGTATACATGTACCACTGATCTGATCATGAGAACATAACACTGCACGTACGCACCACGACACTGGTCAGCCTCACTTATTACTTCACCTCAACGTTTACCGGGCACTTGCGTGCTGGTAGAATCAATTTACTAACTCGCTCTTACGATTTTGGTTGGAACAGGACTCCTTAGAGCAGGGTAGACAACCTTGAAAACTATAATGCTTCCAGACCTTCAAGGACAGCATTTAGCCAAGCTTCGGCGCAATAAAAGTTTCACCATAGAAAACAGTTCTGGCACAGAAGCATCGACTGCTAATGCACTGTGCTCAAGCAAAGCGAATGTAGAGAGTCGCAGTCTTGATTCCGCGGTGGAGTCTCTGAAGATGTTGCCGTTTGAAACGGCTACAATCATCAACTTTATGGAAACTAGTGCGCTCCACGGTCTGAGAAGCCCATTGCATAACTACGACTTTATTGTGTATTGGGTCGCGCATATTGTCTCTTCTTTTAGGAGATCAATTGTTGCAAAACCGCGCTTGGCCTTCATTGGCAATGCTTGCTGTTATGGAAATTGCTGGTTCATATCAAATTAAAAGCCTATAGCTCCTACTGCTGGCGTTTAGGAGCGTCATAAGTGGTTGTTCGATGCTGAGCCTTCTTTCTTTTTTTTAGCTAACTATCAGTTCACTCATGGATAAAACTGCTAAATTTGATGACAACACCACAAATTTATTAATTCACGCAAATCAAATCTCCGTTGGCATTTGGTCTACGTGGTTCACTTCCACTGTAGCTGATGGAAATAGAAGTGCTTGATAAATTGCTAAATTTTCGCATTTTTTGAATTCCAATGAATTTCGACATGGCACTGGCGCGGAATATTCGTTTGATAAGCCGTGCAGCAGATTCGCGAAATGGTCGAATAACTATCAGATACATTATGCTGGTAGACATCGCAAATAACGAAATTGGAAAGAATAACATAGTTTCAAGATGTGGCCTGAATCATTCTCGATGAAAGTACTGAAAGTAATGAACCATCATGAGAAACAGTTTCATCACTGAATTCCGTTAGAGACAGCAGTGGGTATTCACAATCATTACATTCTAATCGCTTCCAGAGTGTATATCATAAAAACATGGGTAAGCCCCACTCTAGATTTCGTACCATGCAATTCATGCCCTTCCCAGACTGGCAGTGATCCACTCCTAATGCACCGTGCAGGGTGATCTGAAGCAGTGGTGAGTGAACCGTAACCATTTTTTCTCTGAACTTACCCATTTTTAGCTCTCTTCTACGCAATCAAACGCCTAAATGAATTCAGAAGTATGAGTAATTCAAATGATGGAGAATCAATGGTTACCATCCGGACAAATACAAAATGTGAAGATTGTTCTCCTGGATAGAGTTCCGTAACCCAAATAAGAAAATTTGAGTGAAGTCCATTTGGGCGCGTTAGTGATTTTTTGGCCTCAAGTTAGTGATTTTTGGTTTTCGACAAATTGTTACGAAGAATTCCCTTGCCTTATTTAGCTGCCTCCTGTATAGGCCACCTGGAAGAAAAAGAGCAGAACTTTCAGAGAACTTTGACTAGTCAAGCAATGCCCAGAAAAAATAAGTTGTTTTGATGCCTATTGCCTGCGAGCCACGGCACAGGACACCGCGCTTAAAAAGCTCTTACGAAGGCAGCAGGTGGATGTGGATTTCAATCTCAACCTGCATTTGCTTTTGACATGCGAGGCGCCTTTTTTTGTAGTTTCTTTGTCTCATCAGGTCAGCATTCCTTTTCAACGGCATACTGTTTCGGCTCCCTACCTCCGGCTCACCTTTATGTTGGCCTGCTCGAGAAGAGATGTGGTTTTTTGAGATTGGTTCTCACTCCGGCATCCATTTTTGTACGATAAACTATTCGAAAGAACTTATCTGCTCTACAATAGCTTACGTCTCACTTCCAAAATTGCTGTGAATTGGATAATTTTAGGCATGCAAAATGGGGAGTCCTCTCGGCGAAAATTTACTAAACCTTCTGAATTTTCTATACAACTAGCTATGTATCTCTCACGCTCTCATGCTGTCGCAAGTGTAGACGTTTCTTACTGCGCTCAAAATTTTCTGCTCAATTTGTTTTTTCGCCAGCACTGGTTCACTCCTATTTCGTCGAATCTGGCCCTGAACATTTTTGCGCCTAGGATAGGTAACTGGTAAAAACTTCGGTGCAATCGACTAGGGCTTTATCACTTTCCTACCTTTTGAAATATGGAGAAAATTTTTGAAGTGACGTACCATCCTTGTAGGCTAGACCTTATGAAATGCTTAATATTAACTGAACGGAATTTCTAATTTCTCTAACGCTATTCAGCTACGGTGTGCATAAAGTACAAATGAGGAAATCCTCCACTTATGCAATGCACACAAATGGTGGAGCATTTATAACTAATTAGTTCGGAATATTAGCCCTTATACTGGACGGTAGCAGCATGAAAACGCTTTATCAGAGAAAGAGCTGTGTGCTCACTTTTGCGATCGCTCCTGCTGCTTATTGTAGAACTCATCGAGGAGTGTATCCAGGCAAAACTGGGGAAATTGAAGTGCTCAAGGAGCTCTTAAATTCACATTTTCCCGCTTCGAATCCGTGGTCAACTTTATTTGTGGTCTCGGCTCCCGCGAAGCTCGAAGCGTTCACGCTCACAAAGTCTCTGTTCAGAGAGAATATGAGTTGCACTCACAATCCGCGTAGTACCCATCGCCGAACTTGTCGGATTCTCTCTGGAAAAATTTTCGTACCGAGCGAGCGAAAATGATGACATGGGCCAGTTGTAACTTGAACGGGACACCGAAGTGGTGGCATGGGCCATCATTGCATCGCCTTGATAAGAAAACTTCGATCGAGTTCAGTGATGGGTACCAGACGGGTAGTAGGTACGAGTCATGTTCTCTCTAAAACAGAGACTTTGTGAGCGTGAACGCTTCGAGCTTCGCGGGAGCCGAGACCACAAATAAAGTTGACCACGGATTCGAAGCGGGAAAATGAGAATTTAAGAGCTCCTTGAGCACTTCAATTTCCCCAGTTTTGCCTGGATACACTCCTCGATGAGTTCTACAATAAGCAGCAGGAGCGATCGCAAAGTGAGCACACAGCTTTTCTCTGATAAAGCGTTTTCATGCCACTGTCCAGTATAAGGGCTAATATTAGTATTAGTGTCATAAGCAATTGACGCGGCCCATTTTCTTCAAAAGAACAGAGCAATTTAAATCCACGCGTTAACCAAAATCAAACAACACCATTCTTAGTTTTCACGCCGAAAACGATGGTTGCTATGCCGATTTACGAAATTTCCAAATAAGTCAGAAAACTGAAAAAATCAGGGGGTGGCATATACAATTGACGCGCACTATATTTCGCAAAAGTCGACAAGATTCTGAACTGCTGTTTCCCAGGGTCAAATCCGAGCACTGTAGCAACTTATGCAGTTTCATAAAGAGCATATCAGAAGCCCAAGTAGAAACATTGGTTTTGAGCACCAAGCCAAACGTACATCTCCGTCATCCATGAAAGGTCAAAAAATACTGTGATCACGAATAACATAACAGGCAAGCCGAGTTGAACGAATAATATGGCACAGTACATGATGAGGGCGATAACCACGTTTATGTGGAGGCGATACGTTTTTGTAGAAAATTCGTGTTTCCGTGCTCGGATACGTAGAACGACTCTAAATTTAGCATTGTAAGAGAATGATGTGGAGAATTTTTCGGAATTCTCTAGCTTTGCTTTGGGTTATTGATTTCTGCACTCGGCAGCAAGAGTCTCTTAGAATGACCATTCCATTGAGATAAGGCTAGAATGCGTGCATGAATGTCACTACACTGATTTGTCGCTTACTCAAAACGCTAATAACTGGTAATGCTGCTTACCTGGTAATCATGACAGTACCAATGATTGCTGCGCCTGTGTAAATAAGGAGTAGAAATATAAGACACAAATCAACGCCTAATGATCTAAGGTAAACGACCATAGTAGCAAACTCGTCCAAAAAGACGGCGTTTCTCGGATCTGCTATCAACATAGAAGGTACTGATTGCGTATCGCTTAATATCAAATATGGTAGCACGATGCTGAAGGCTACTATAACCACAGCTGGTAACAGAAAAGCAGTCCACTTCACGATGAGAAAAGCTCTAGATCTCAACAGCCAAAAGTGACATACAGATATGTAGTTGAGCGCTATAGAGTACGCAATGCTGAGAACGGCGCATGCTCCCAGCCAACATATCATAGCGCTAAACAATAGAGTCACTTCACGGTTGATTCTCAATGGACCCAAGTTAAGAATAACAGGATATGGCAGCATTATGTACGGCACAAATAGGATACAAATCAGGTTGCATAACAAAGCGGGAATAGCAACGTTGCAATACATTAGGATTCGAAATGCTTTGAGTAATTCAATAGAACTGGTTTTCATTACATATAAAACAAATGTTATCACTACATCTGTAGCTATGCCATAAAATAACATTGTGTCACGTTGAAGTTGGAAATACACCACATGTTTCTCGTATACTCCGAAAATGCCAGCAAACTGTGACGAGTTCATCCGTGGAGAATCAAGTCCTGGTCCTGTAAAAAGATTTGGAGTCATTTCACCTGTAAATCTAACAGCTTTTAAAATCTATTCACAGAGTTCAACTTCAGATAGCGTTTCGATTTAGTTCAAGTAAATCCC